GCTCTGTTCAAACCATATTCAGATTTAGAGTGCTCTGGCACACGTCCTACAATAGCAGTCAAATAAGATGGAATCTTATACGAAAGTGTGCATATCTTTTGGCTACCCTAAGAGAACAAAGGATAACATCTTATTTAATCCAAAGGATAAGATGATCTAAGTGAGCACTCACTTGATTTTCTTAGAAGGGGACTAGATGAGAAATTATAAGTCTTTAAGTAAGTTTATTTTTTATGAGACTTATCTCAGATCAAGAATTTTCAGGATCTCTAGAAGCTTCATCCTCTATTTCCTTGATTGTTCAAAGAGGGGAAAGATATACCTCTAAATGAACAAACACGGGAACTATAATTGGAATTCAACATGATAATATATAAATGAAACTAGTAGAAATATTAAGTATCATATGTGGAAGAACAATATCAAACATTTGTTAAACACATAATATGTGGATCCTCAAGAAATTGAAGATCCATCATTTAACCCAATCGGATCTACCTGTAGACACACAAGGTTTAGTGCGGTACATTCGTACTAGGAGAGAACTTTGTTAACTTTCAAGTTGTCTCTTGTTTAGTGACATTGATCCCACTAGTTAATTACAATAATGTACTAGAAGATGGTGTTGATCAAGTGTGCTCAAGCTATGAATCATGAGATGAAATACTTGTATTACAACTCCGTTTGGTACCTAATAAAGGCATCAAGAGGGGTAAGACCCACTAGGTGCATGTGGACCTAAAATGCAAAGAAAGGATGGACAGGAGGGTGAAAACCTTCAAAGCAAGCTTGGAGGCAAATTTTTCCAGATGCCATGTTTGAGTCTATCCAGATTCTCAATTATGAGATTTTATTTTGGGAGTTGAATGTCAGGATATCTACATACAACAACCAAAGGAGTTTATAGCAAATGGGAAGGAACACACGGTATACAAGTTGTGAAAGTCTATTTCATGAACTTAAGCAAGCATCCAGGTCTTGGAATATCAGTTTTGTTCAGGTTATCAAAATTTTGATTTTGAGAGAACCTTGATGAATGATGTGTATTTGTATGTAAAGGATCCAACGGAGGAAATAGCTTTTCTGGTACTTTATGTATATGATATACTCTTTATTGGAAACAACGTGGATGTAATATCAAGTATAAAGAGTTGGCTAAGTTAGTGTTTTGGTATGAAAGTACCAGGGAAGCAAATTATATTCTTGGTATAAAACTCTTATGAGACCGGAAGAATAAGTTGTTAGCATCACCTTAGGCTACTTACATTGACAAAACTCTTGCCAAAAAATTTACATGGTAATTCTAAGAAGGGAATTATGTCTTTCAAACATGGAATTCATCTTATTAAGGAGTAACCTCTAAAGACTCCTAAGAAGGAAGAATGCATGAGTAGAATACCTTATGCTTTGGCAATAAGTAATCTCATGCATGCCATGTTGGACATTAAACCAGACATCTGCCATACAGTGAGAGTAGTGAAACGGTACCATTTTGGACATAAAGGAACACTATATTATTGTTAAGCATGTACTCAAGCATCTTTGGAGAATGAGAGATTATATGCTGGTATATTCTAGTGGGAGTCTTGAAAAGTTGAGTTTTCATAGATTTAGTTTTTCAAGTGGATATTGACTCAAGAAATCAACCTCGAGCTATAAGTTTTTCACTAAACTCAGATAGCATTAGAGATGAATCTTGCAGACTCAGTTACTAAGAGTTTGTCTGAACTTGTGTTCGAGAGACATGATTCTTCTTGGGTCTTAGGAGGATCCCAGACTTGCATTAAGTGAGTGAGAGATATTGGGCTCATTGTGCTCTTGGAGTAAGACAATGAAATAATGTAATCATTTTCTGGATTTTACAAATGAAGTATTATTTATTTATTTTGTGCACTATTTACAGACATCAAGGTCCAGATCAATTGTGGAGTATATGATCATATGGATACATTCATGGAGGACATGATCATAGGTTCTCACAATTGATGTATAGATTCACGATTGTTAAATAAAGTTGAGCACTTTATTTAGGTTGCAATATTTTATGAAATGGTTTTGTCCAAATCATTGTAAAATGTTTGTGTGAATTAACATTGACATTGAAGGATGAAGGAGAGATTTGATTAAGGTTGCTTTTCTGTCATAAGGTATCAAATCTCCAGTTAACTATAGTTATGTGATTGCTCTTAATCCCGAGTTCATTATAAATAGGTAAATAGTTTTCATTCTTTGATTTACCAACGGGAGAGGTTCGATCTATTGACGACCAATAACTCGATATTTTGGGAGTGAGATTATTTGATTATCAGTATTTATAAGATAAACAACATGAAATTTATAGGATATGTCCTTTTGATATGTTTTGGTACTTGGATATTGAAGACACTGGCCAGTGCATGTAATCCATTAGAGAAATTATCACAGCCAAGTGAATAAATAATTGATTGAGTTACAAAAAACTTGTCAATCAATTATAGACATTCTACAAAGGGGCGATGCATATTCGTGTTATAAGTGTTATTAATCTTGGAGTTCAAGTTCGGACTTTTAGTGAAGTAACACCGAAATAGATACTCATTCATTGATTATCAAGAGTCTTGATTAATAGCAGATGGTAGATCCCCATGCTAGCTCGAGATAAGGGATGAGGCAATTTCAGTTGATAACGACTAGTGGGATACATGGACTTGGGCTTTGGGCTCAAGTTTGTACTCAAGAGCAAGTGGAAGATTGTTGAGTTTTGCATTTTTACTAAAGTCCAATAGGGCCTAGTGTGTAAGAAGAACACAATAAACCTAAAGCCCATTCAACTTATGGTTAGGATTTCTTGAAACCCATATATATTCTATAGTTATAGTCATCAGCCTCTCTAATCTTCATTTGGTAGTTACAAAGATTGAGGTAACCCTGAAAGTGAGAAAGTGCCTATGCATTTTCCATTTCCCCTTGAGACATAGTCTGGAAGATCTGTCAATGTCCAGCTTCAAGGAGGTTGTTTGTGCTACGACGCTGAAGTGAGCAGTTCGTGAAGAGGAATCATACTTGGAAAGATTTTGCACGGGATCTACGCACTAAGAGGTAAATTAGTAAAACGATGATGATTTGTTTGCATCCCAAACTACAATGGTCTAAAACGCTTCTGTAGATCCAATTGCTCCTACAGATTCCATATATTTTTGTTGTTACATGAGACAGAATTATCCCATGCTACATGATAAACATATTCCCCATTAAATATAATAAAGTATAATTTAATAAATTATTAAATTTCGATTTGAATATTTTATAATTATAAAAGCATGCAATCAATCAAAATGTCTTCTTAAGGTAATAACATGGCCTATAATATTTGGAAAAATAATGACAAATATGTGAGATGAAGCAATCAAATAATCAAGAGAGTAAATGCGATATTATTTTCTTCTTCTTTTCAACACTTTCACTCTATTTTTCTTTTGGATACTATATTTCTTTTTTTTTTTCTCTTATTTGTTTAGGCTTTTTTTTCCAAGGAGTAATTTCTTTTCTTCTTTTCATACTGTTTTTTGCCCCCTTTTCTCCTTTTCACTTGATTTAGCATATAACTTCAAAAGATATTTGTTTTCAATCTCGAGTAGGTAAGAATTTGTATATAGAGCTCGCAAAATAGGTACAACTCATCGAGTTAATCCGAACCATTAGATATTAAGTTTTACATCAAATCTTGATAATTGATTTGCTTGTATTTAATGACTCAAATATCTAATAAATCAGAACCATTATATATTAATATGATCAACAATCAAAATTGAGAGTATAACACACACACATCAAATCTTAGTTATTGATTTACTTCCATCAAATGACTCAAATATCTAATAAATCAGAACTGTAACTTGTACCGGTATAAAATGTTCTTGACCCTTATATATATGGGTTTATCATCTATCATTTAACATGACCACAAAAATTTTCCTACACACACAACATTTTGTGGGGCCCGCAGCAAAAAAAAAAAAAACTTCGGCACGCAAAACGAATCTCTATAACATAACACAATCACTTTTCCTACAACATAACTCTTATAAAACCCTATATATATATGGGGTTTACATTTCTGCAGCTGTTGTACGTGCAACAATCAAATACTTGCCATATATATACTTGAAAGCATTAAATGCGGGGAATCATAACCATACAAAGGATGAAATCATTAAATGTGGAGAATCATAACCATATACCTGTCGTTGATGTACATAAAGCGGCTGCAGAAATAATTTTACCTATATATATAAGTTTTTTAGGGGTGTTCCTGTCAATTTAGATAATTAGATGAGACATATTCTCTTCATGACATATAGCGAGAAGATTTTTGCCAGTTGCTTCGACTAATAATTGAATAAGAGACTTTTCAATGTAACTGTCTACTCCTTAGGTACAACCCGTTTAGCAGACACTCCTTGGGGTTAAAATATATAAGTTTAAACATTATGCAAATGTAAATATATTACCATGTTATACAAAATGTATTGATTTAATAAAAAAAGTTGTATTATGTATTACTAATCATCAAAATAATTATAAATTTTAAAATATTGTGCAACACTTTGAGCCAGATCGAGAAAAGCCAAAGAAAAAAAGGAATTTTATAATGATTATTTGCTTGTATAAGTTGGCCAGCAAGCAATGCCTCACCATGAACCATTTAGATGGACTTAAATCATAACCTGACTATACAGAAGGAACAAAATTTTCTATATAAGGGTTAACCCAACAAGAAAGACCATTGAAGAAATGTGGGAACTTGCAAGTAACAAGAAGATGAGCAATTTATGTAGGCCCAACCCAATACCAACACCGTCATCTACGTGTTCTTTGTGGCTAATATTAATCCTCAATCTAATTTCCAAACTTTCAAACTCTTTGCATCCACAAAATTACCTGAAATAACTACCAATATATTTAAATATAAAATCATATGTTATATTTCCCTTGTAAATTAAATTAGAACAAGAAAAATAAAAAAAATGAAATTGTGGTCTAAAATTGAAGGAGATAGCAGGTGAAGTTCTATAGTTTTTTCTTCACAAACCAAACCTGAAATTGAACTGACATGGCCACTGTTGCAACTAGAGGAATTGGAGTAGGAGTGACAAAGCTCCAACACCACAAACCTAAGCAAAAGTCACTGTTTTTTGGCCATAGACTTAGAATTAGACCCTGTGTTGAGCCACAATGCAGTGCAAGGTTCACTGTCTCAAACCCAAAATTGTTTCAAGTTTTTGCACTAGGGGGTGAGTGGGTTGAATCAATTCACAACCTTTTTGTTGGTGTTGGTGTTGGGCTTCCATGCACTGTGATGGAGTGTGGAGATATGATCTACAGGAGCACTCTTCCTAAATCAAGTGGCTTAACAATCACTGCCCCTGGGGTGGTTCTGGCTTTGGGTGCTCTCTCTTACCTTTGGGCTACACCTGGTGTGGCACCTGGTTTCTTTGACATGTTTTTTCTTGCTTTTGTTGAAAGGTTGTTCAGACCCACTTACAGAAAGGTCTGTGAATAAAACTTGATTTTTTTAATTTTTATGAAATATTGTTTCTGGTGTTGATTTTAATGGTTATTACTGAGATTGGTTTATGGTGGCAGGATGATTTTGTTCTGGGGAAGAAGTTGGGGGAGGGATCATTTGGAGTGGTTTATAGAGTGTCACTGGCCAACAAGCCCTCTTCAAAGGTATTATATATTCTATTTAGAAGCTCCTGAAATATTTAAAGATTTTCACTTGTTATTTTGGACTTATTGATTCTTTTTTGCATATTTTTATGTAGTACTTTACAAGAACATCAGTTAATTTCAAGATAGCCATTGATTTTCACATCATTTTCGTTTATAAATTTTGGATATCTGTATTGCTTTTCACTTTTGGTTGCTTGGAGTCTCATTGTTTTGAGAAAAAGAGAGAGAGAGGAACCTACTTGTTGATATGGCATGTGTGCTTGTGAGATTTCAATGTCTTAGAAAGCTTGAATTATATAATTATGACTTTTGTTTCTTTTTTTGTTCTCATTGGAAGGAAGGTGACTTGGTTTTGAAGAAGGCGACTGAATATGGTGCTGTAGAAATCTGGATGAATGAGCGCGTGCGAAGAGCTTGTGCAAACAGCTGTGCAGATTTTGTTTATGGTTTTCTTGAGGTGTTGCTCTATTAAAACTAATTCTTCCTAATGGATTTCCGGTATCGCTGTTGTATGGAGAAATCAAAGACATTCTCAGTCACATCATTTAACATTCTAGTTTTAGTCATGACAGATACAAATGTTCTCACATACTGTTTGCAGAGCTCGACAAAGAAAGCTCCTGAATACTGGCTTATATGGCGGTTTGAAGGGGATGCCACCCTAGCTGACCTGGTGCAGAGTAGAGAGTTTCCATACAATGTTGGTAGTCTCTTTAATCAGCATAGTAGCAGTTGATAAATTGTCAATTTTGTTAGTATTTTGGCCTTAAATTTTCTAAGGAAGTTTATATCAGTTGTCCTACATTTAAGAGAGTATACTATGTTTTAGTCGTTAATTGATGAGGATAATATGTTTCATATTCTTTAATTATTCTTCACAATGATTCTGAAGCACTTTTTTTGTGGTTAAATTCTATTTGAATTTTATGCTCTCGTGGTAAATCATGATTGCTTAAAGTCTCCAGCATCAGCCCCATTGATGGTGACTCAAATTTCAGGTTGAAACATTGATTCTGGGTGAGGTCCAAGACTTGCCCAAGGGATTGGAAAGAGAAAATAGAATAATTCAAACAATCGTGAGGCAGATCTTGTTTGCATTGGATAGTCTTCACTCAACTGGTATTGTGCATAGGGATATTAAGCCGCAAAACATTATTTTCTCTGAAGGTAAAGAATCTAAAGATTGCATAACTTTGTCTGAGGAAAAAAGATCCTTAATCCAAGTTAAGCTCTCATTTCTTTTAAACCATTGGATCAGGTTCTCGTACATTCAAAATCATTGATCTCGGAGCTGCTACAGACCTACGAGTTGGCATCAACTATATTCCTAAGGAGTTTCTTTTGGATCCAAGGTATCTTCTTTGACATTAGGAACACAGGTAGCCAACTGATTTCAAACTTAATCCACTGTATGGAAGTTTCTGTTTCATGTGCATAATTGATTCATTAAAGGAAGCTTTTCATTTTTTATTCTTTGATTGAGAGAATGAAGAATAAGTATTGTATATATTCCAATTGATAACTCAAACAGTCATATATTTTCCATATAATTTCTGAAAAAAGAAAATTAAAACAGCTTTTCTAGTAGTCATCAATGTGATTCCTTGATAACCCTAAGTTAGAAAATACAAGTCTTGTATATATTCTCATTGAACTCATGTCTTTATTAGACACTTGACTTCCAACTACAGACAACTCGTGACGTGTATAATTCTTCCCTTTCAGGTATGCTGCACCAGAGCAGTACATCATGAGCACGCAAACTCCATCTGCACCCTCAGCTCCGGTTGCAACTGCACTTTCCCCAGTCTTATGGCAGGTTAAACATTGCTTACGAACCATTCATGGTTAATTAGCACATATATAGCTTCCTTCATCATGTAATGATGTTGTGTTTTGTTGCTTATAATTGTTTTCTTGTTTCAAACAGTTGAATTTGCCTGACAGATTTGATATCTATAGTGCTGGCCTAATCTTTCTTCAAATGGTGAGTATCAAATACTGATGAAACTCGTGACTAGCTTCTATTCCTGTCACCGGAACTTATCAGTACATTTCAATGAATATTATGTCAGTTAACAATATAAACCACGTCAATGACAGAAAAGACTGCATATTAGTATTTTTCAAGTTACAATGAATTTGGCTGATGTATTTACACTTTGGGGGATTTGATTTGTTGATCTATTAAGAATCATTATTGTCCTAGTAGAGTAGTTTTCCGTTTTTCTGGACCAGAGTTTTAATCAGGGGACACATTTAAACAATGGCAAGGGGTGATCCAATCAACTATATGATCAAGCTGGTATTTCAAATTGCTCATAGTTTATGCCATTCTCTTATAGGCATTCCCTGGTTTACGCACTGATAATAGCCTCATACAATTCAAACGTCAATTAAAAAGGTGTGACTATGATTTGGTTGCATGGAGAAAAAGTGTAGAGCCTCGATGCGGCCCTGAACTCAGGAGGGGCTTTGAGCTGTTGGATTTAGATGGTGGAATCGGATGGGAACTTCTGACATCAATGGTACGATACAAAGCAAGGCAAAGGCTGAGTGCAAAAGCAGCATTAGCTCATCCTTACTTCGATAGAGAAGGCCTGTTGGCATTGTCTTTCATGCAAAATCTGAGGCTGCAGCTCTTGCGCGCAACTCAACAGGATTATGGAGAAGCTGCCAAGTGGATTATTCAGCTCATGGCAAAATCAGGAACACAGAAGGATGGTGGATTTACTGAAGCTCAGCTCCAGGAACTGAGAGTATGTATCTTAATTCTGCAATCACTTTTTCTGTTACAATTTATCATCTTGTATCATTTTTTTTTTCATGTTGTAGGAAATTGAACCCAAGAAGGCTAATGTACAGAGAAATGCTCTAGCTTCAGCACTTAAACTTCAGAGGAAAATTATAAGAACCATAAATGAGAGTATGGATGAGCTGAACAGACGCAAGAAAAGAATTTGGTGGAGCAGATGGATTCCGAGAGAGGAATGAAAATTGTAAATACATAATACCCATTTTTTCTTTTAAAAATTTTAGTCTATAGTTTGTATATCAAAATTAATTATATTGATCAGATAGAACAAAGTTTAATATGAATTTAAAAAAGAAAAGAAAGAAACTAACTGGATTCTTATATTTTTGGTCATAAACTAACTGGAATCTGATGGATGCATACCTGATGTCTTTTGACTGCACCGGCCACCTTATTTATTTAACATATTTTCAAAAGGTATTATTGAATGAATGGAACATATTATGACACTTTCCTTAATGTTCCTTCTAGCCAGCTGTGCTCCCAGGATAAATCAAACCTCATTGTTTCCCTTAAGACTTTAGCAAGCATGAAAAGACCTTGTAACTTCTCATTGTTAACTTCCCTATTTTTTGATTTATTATTTGATTGAGAAGGACAGTAAGTTTCAGATTTTAATGGATGACCGTTTTACTTGATGATGTGGTCCTACTTTGATTCTGCAATAGTGGGAAATTTTCATGACTGAATAATAGGGATGATTCGTTTTTCTTTAGCCTGGTCACAACCTATCAACCTTTTCTTCCTTTAAGATGGTAATTGGTAAGTGGTGGAACACAAAACTCTTAATTTACAGTTTAAAATACCCCTCAAGCTCTTTCTGAGTAAGACATGGGATAATGTAATCGGTTACCATCTAAACTTTTTATCTGAATTGCTTAGGTTATCTTCCCTCTCAATTGTTGTGAGACAATCATTATGCATGGATAACCAAAACAACTGAACCTTGATAAAACAATTTCTAATGTGTATATATGATTATTGTAACCATGGTAGAGTTATTGTAACAGCAACACAACAGCCTCATTCTGCTTATAAGAATACTAATTAGCTATGGCTTGAATTCTAAAAATGCATATACATTATATCTAAGACCTCATCAGGAACCAGCTAAGAACCATCGTAGTAAATTATTAGTTAGCAATGGAGACATAATCCTAGCACTGTGTTCGTACATAAGCACAGCTGTAACTATGACTTAACTAGTAAGCCCATAATGTATGGGGTTGCACCCTATTACAGAAGCTTCCTGTCAAGAAAATCTCATTCCCTTTTGTGGTGTGTTGGTAAGACTAAGAGAGTTAATCTGGAACAGCCTAATCAAATGCACACAACTTAGCAGCACACATGGCAAAATTTTAGAACTCGATAATTTTTTTGGTGAAGGTATATGTAAATAATTTTATATAAATATGTCCTTCACTATGAATTCTTTGTCCTTAGAGCACAAACAACGTACATGCTCACCTTATTTTGTGTTAAAATTTAACTTTTTCATTTAGAAAGTAGAAATATCAAAGATTAAATTCTAAACCACTTGGTCATGTATAAAAAAATTCTAATACCACGTTGTAAAGAACTAATTCAACCCAAAAGCTTAAACTTGTGGGTGAGATTATATTAATAGTTTTATATATCTCAACACGCCCTCTCACACAAAAGTCCACTGGGCTTGAAGCATGGACAATGCACAGACTTACCTACCTGTGCGAAGAAAGAAATTTCATTGGAAAGAAAGTGGGAGGCGGTGAGGATCGAACCAGGTACACCGAGGCTCTTGATACCATGTAAAGAACCAATTCAACCCAAAAGCTTAAGTTGTAGGTGAGACTACATTAATAGTTTTATATATCTCAACACATGTCGTGAACTAATTTATCAAAACCTAATGTTGTCTGCTAAATAATTTTATATGACATAGAAATGGTGGTTCGAAAAGCTAGTTACCATATGACCATTTGGGATGAGATTGAAGGAACATGGGGTCAGGTTGTTCCTTAATAAACAAGAATGAGGATGGGGATGTGGATCAAAGCATGGGGGTCTAGATAACAATCAGATTATTACTATATGCTGATTATATTGGAGGCAATGGTATTGTGAATCACAAGGACTTCACGTGCAACTCTGACTTCCTTGTTTAGTACAATTGCCCCCCCCCCTTTTTTTAAGTTTCAAGATATAACAAGACCTGAAAGGTAGATTTCAAGATATACCACGGTTGGACCACTTTGATCATAGTGCATTTCAGACATTAATTTTATCACCCTTGTCTATAACGCAGTGTTTTAAGTGCCCATAGTTCAATTCGTCTCACGCTTTCAAAGAAATGCATTTAGAGCTCAAACGCATTACATGAGTAGAATTTTAAAATGTTACATCTTTATGTGAGGATCAAATAAGCACATTTAAAAGCCATTATTTATTTGTTATGATAGTTTCATATTTAGTAGTATGGTTATTTTAACGTTCATAATTCAAACTAAATACCCACAATTTGTTTTGAATTTCCCCCCCTAATGACATTTAAGCAGAATGATTCTCTTGAATTTTACTAGTATTGCTGTTTGAGAATCTAGAATAAATTACTTTCATGTTACTTATACTGAAAATTATTTAAACTTTCTTGTTAGTTATTTGAAAATGTACCTAAACTTTCTTTGAACACGGGTTACTTATAAGAGATCATGAAAATTTACATGTACTGTTTTAGGGCATGTCCAAGTAACTTTTTTTAAAAAGAAATTTTTGCTTAGGTTTAAAAGATAGAAAGCGTTGTTTGTGTCTTCTTAACAAGATTTAGGGTAGATGAATTAAGTTAAATTAATAGATTCCAATGTAAAATGAAATATGAAATAGTTTAGCAAAGCAATAGCAACAACAAATGTCTTTTTTCACAAAGTAATTTAGTTACATAAATGAAACGATATTAATGTTTTTTTACCACTTCCTGTAACATCCCCGTCTCGAGCCGGTTCAATTAACATACATATGATACAAACAGAAACAGCGGAAGACTTAACTTACAAAAATATGAGCTAACTTTTTCTTTTTCTAACTTAATTCTTACTCGGCGTAAACGAAAATCGGGCAGAGTTTCCTCTATAAATCGGACAACTGGGGATTTTCCAATCCCACTCAGAAGCATTTCCTGATAAACAGTTTATACAACATATCAATTCAGAAATACCAGATATCCAAATATAATCAAATACCCATACATGGGCGCATGCATAACATGGCTCCGTGCCACTAAATCTAACAGCATGCCATCAAAACATAAACCTATCTGAATACTACATCATCATATAACGTTCCTGAATACTCAAATGTACATGCATCAAACTGATAGACATGTACAAAACATATACAGGCCATATACAAAATAAAGGATCAATATCATGATCCATCAAATGCGAAAATACTAAAATACATCAAACACTCCAAAAAGGTAGTAGCCTACAGCCACTCAAAATCCGGTCTGTCAACTGCCTCAGCCACGTGTCGTGTCCCTGCCTAGTGAGGACTCACCGGAAATCTGGGCCCCTGAAAATGTGTCCCCAAAGAGGGGTGAGATTACAAATCTCAATAAGCTCCAGGTTTATAGAGAATTCTCCATACCCCTGGCTCACTCCTGCATGAAATTCAGATACAGAGTATACAAATACAACATATAACAGATATCATAACAGAACAGAGCATATATCCATATCATATCAGAGATGTGCGCCGTCATTCCCAAGGGAGGACCCCAAGCGGAAATCAACGCACGTGTTCCCGAGGGAGGACCCCAAAGCGGAACCAGACATATCAGAGGAGTACACCATCAGTCCCGAGGGAGGACCCCAAAGCGGACGTCCGGGTACTATACAATCAATGGCCAGAGATTGTTACAGAAATCATATTACAGAAGTCATATCAGAGCAAAACATATCATGTTATCAAATAACTCTATATGAATGCATCTATACAAAGCATCTAAATCACAGTCATACAGTCCAACCATAGTTCACTAACCATGGTGGAGCACTCAAGCAGGAAAAGACTCCTTAAACATAGAGCTTACCTCTTGAAGCTTTACCAATACGCTTACTTGTGGAACAAGTTACTTTTATCGCTTCAAGAGATTTCCGATCATTCTCAATCCCTAGGCACACCTAGAGAATAATTTACAATGCATCAATAAAATGATGCAATACCATAATTATTTCATAAGCATACATTTTATCGCTTATTTTCCTTTCTTTGCATTTTTGCCAATCCTATGCCAATACACAAGTCTAGACCTCTTTATAACCGTTGGTGTTCTTTAATTTAATCAACCATTCCCTTAGGAATTTTCAACATAAATCATGCTATTTTTCTTCAAAACTCATCACCTTTATACAATTTATTACAACACATTTTATTTAAAATAAAATGTACAAAATATGTCCCTAAATACCCTATAGGTCGAATCCTACAAGGGGAATTTCCAAAGATCCTTCTCTTTTACAATGCATTTTCGTTACTTCATTACAACTTGCAAACACCTAGGAATGCTTCCACTAAATTCCTATTTTGAGTTTAGATACCAAGTCCTTTTTACTTAGGCATTCTTACTAACTCATCCATTTTCACTCATTTCCAACACACTATACCTTCACAATTCTTAAGATAAAATTTTTGCACAACAACCTACTCTTCATCTATGATGGCCGAACATGTAGAGGAAATCATAGGATTTTTTTCTAATTTTTTTACATACATACAAATGCTTATTTTCATTTTATACATCAAAATATCAATTATTCCTCATCAATACATATTTTAACACATCATGCTTTTCCACCCAAGGCATATACACAATTTTATAACTTAAATAATCAAAACAACATCATGGAAATAGAGGTTTGTTACCTCAAATCAACTACCCAAAGCCTAGAAGACCTACACCAAGAGAATCTCCATCAAAAACTTCATTTTGCCCTCTTGATGAATAGTACACGAATTTGGGGAAGGAAATATCTCCTCACACAACCAATGATAGCTCAAATAAATGGGTGGGATGGACTCATTGGGTGGTTTCCCATCGATTTCAAGTAGTGGGACTTGTGATTTGGTTAACTTTGGAGTGAGAATCAAAGAAATGAAGAACCAAACCCTACCCCCCCTTTTCACCAAGTGCAGCTCGGCTTCTTTGAGGAAGAGAGGAGAGAGAGCTGATTTTGAATAGTGCTCATTTGAGTCACTTAAGCTTTTAAGCACATGTGGCCCTTTTACCCGGTTGTTTTTCTATCGCGTATTTTTACTTAATTGACCCGGAACTTAACTTAAAGCTACAGATATATTTTTATTTTTCTAAAGTCATTTAAATTAATTTTTATTTCCTAAGTAACAATATTCATAATTCACAGTATGGTTTTTGCACCGTTTTTGACGAAATGCACTGTGCATCACTAATTGTACTTCCTTTACTTACGAAACTTAAAACTTATAAACTTATCATTTTCTTGGGCCTATATTGACTTGCTTGGCATATATTGGACTTTCTTATTCTTATTTCATCAATTATTTATTTCTGGACTCTACCGGTTGCTTAAACAGCAGTACAAAATACCCGGTAGAAACACTATTCACGAGATTTTCACGGAAAGTGCCAGACTATACAATTTTTCGTTCTGAACTCATATTTGTCATCAGAATTTTCAAATTATGTTCCTAAAATTATTTTGCTCATTTTAAGCTCTACCGGTTAATTCACAAAACTGTAAATTCTCCGGCAGAACGCACTGTTCATAACATAGTCATGATTACAGTCAAAATACTCGAAATCGCTCACTGAATCTAATTATGGCATTTAAATCCTTAAATTAAATCTCTAACTAAGATTTACCAGTTAGGGTCATTATACTTCCCGTTAAACAATATGTAAAAAATCAATTCAACCAAGAGCTTAAGATGATGAGTGAGGCTATATTAATGGTTTTATATATCTCTAACACCCCGCTCACACGAAAGCTCATTGGGCTTGAAGGGTGGACAATGGACAGGTCCACCTAACTGAAGGATCGAACCTGTGACACCGAGGCTCTGATACCATATAAATAACTAATTCAACCCAAAAGCTTAAGCTGATGAGTGAGACTACATTAATGATTTTATATATCTCTAACACAGTCATTGTGTAGAACTTAAGCCTTGCATATTTTCTTAGAAATAGTTTTCCACTCACAAAGAATAACTTTGTTATTGTGTTAAGATAATTAAGATTTAGAAAATATCATATAAAAAGCAACAAAAATCACTGACAAGCACCTAATTCGATATTAAGTGCTTAAAACTGCATGAAGAAATGGAGAGAAGAGAAAAGTAATAAGATGAATATTTGAACAAGCCGTTGAAAACAGGTTGGCATCCAAAGTGTTGGGGAGAGCACGAGGCAGAGCAAGTAGATGATCATCTTTGCCTTTAGCTAAGTGTAGTTAATCATTAATAATTTAATTTACCTCTTAGCTGTGATTTGAATACTTTAATATAAAAATTTGTGTGCCTTCTTATTCTAATACCCCCATGTTATGGAATCTCAGTCAAAAGCTTGAAACTTACGTCCTCATGCTCAGGTACATTTTCTCATGCCCCCTTTATGGTGTTGCAGGGGAAAAAGAACAAAATTTTCTCCCTTTTGATCCATTACATTAGCAAAGTGCTTTAAGTCTTATGCAAAGTCACTCTGGCTTATTTTATTTTCCATTTTGGGAAAAGGGGTGCTTTCTTCTTATAGTATTTTGGATTTTCTGTTAAGGAAAAAAAACGGTGTGAAATGGAAAGAAAACTTTGGACTATCATCATGTGCAAGAATCTTATGATTCAAAGCCTTAACTCAAGCAAAAAAATTCATTGTTGCTCCCATATTCTTGCTGTCTCCTCCAAAACTGTCAGTACCATGTCACATATTTAGTTGGTTTTGATATCAATTTTGCTGCTTTTTCCTACTAATTTTAAAGTTATCTCAACAAAATTTCCAAGCTTCTTTCCACAAGCCAAGGAAATTCAAGTTTTCTATATCATGGGGTTAGGCTCACCAAAACTTGGTTTGTTTCTTGAGTAATCACCCAAGATGTGCAATAATTTCTGGACTTTGTACCATTGGATAGACACTATTTTTAACTAAGGAAATGTAAACTTTGTTGCTGATAGCTGGAGTCCCTACCCAACATATAAATTCCATTTTTCATTTATAGTCAAGGTATATGATCTTAAAACTTTCTAACGGTTGGTTTTTGTTATGAATTCTAATGTAGGATTCAACTAAACCAACCCCTATCTACCGGTCATTTCCCTGATTATGTGGATCCAACGAAAGATAAGCAGAAAAAACAAAATAAGAAGCAATATAAAATTATAATATAGATAGCTCATATGTCCCTCATGAACAATCAGACAAATTATCTATCATGCACAAATTGAGGGCAGCTTGTAAACTATGAAAAAAAAATATATTATGCCACGTTATTTATGTAATGGCAGACCCATTATGCTGGTGGGTAATGTCTACACGTAGGAATATAGAGTGAGACATAGCAATGCAAGAAAGAGAAGCTTAGCTCAATTGTTTGTTTTGTTTTATCAATTCCCCCTTATTGGGGTATGGATTACCAAGTGCTGAGGTGGGGTCCAATTGGTGTGTGTCTGGTGGGTTTGGAGGCACTGCACACCCTTTCATGCCCCATAGTTTGCTCTTTACTAGACCAAGATGTGTTAGGACCACACCCTGAAAGCTCTTTAAGAACCCACCTCCTCACCAATTCTAAACCAAGTCACACACACAAGTTCAAAAGCTATTATGAGTTTAAGCTCAAGAGAAGGGAAATAAAGGAAAAAACAACAACCCCATTTACATTTCTAAGAAAAAGAAAAGAGTTCACTGAAGAAATGAAGATGGATAGTGCTACCATGGGAGGCTCAAAGAGAAGGCTATCATCAAATAGAGGACTTGGAGGAGTCCTCAGAGAGCAGAGGGCAAGGCTATACATTATAAGAAGATGTGTGGTCATGCTCCTTTGTTGGCATGACTAGTATTTGAAGACTTGAAGTCCAAACTTGCTTTCCAATATGGCAATGGAAGATGGGTTTCTTTTCTTTTCTTTTTTCCTTGTTTCTTTCTTTGTGTTATCTTTTTCTTTCTCCCTCGGATCATGGTGGAGTGTAAATAGAAACAGCGAGATATCATGGGAGAGAGTATAACAAGTTTTGTAAGGGTTATTGGCCTTCATGGCCAGGCTTTATGTACATCGGAATAGCATGAATTATAAATGATAACTATATCAACAAATCGCATATCCAAAGTTCATTTTATTCATTGTTCTTTGCAATGATTAGTTCGGAATAGTCATTATGTTCATGTCTTCCAAATCACTTGAACATCTGATACCTTTTCTCATTTTTTCTTCCCCTCACCCTTCTCTTTGTTTTTCTGCACTAATTGTATAATTATTAGAATCATGTAGAATAGATACTCATGACAAGATTTCTCATAAAGTCACATGTCTATAGATTTAGCATTTTAGAAATCTAGAACAAAGTTAAATATTAGCATTACACTGTTTAGCAATCTCTTTGTTTGAATTGCATGAGAGTATTTTTTACCACAGTTTAACAGAACTGCAGAAGTTGTAGACTTTAGTACATTTTATCTTTCTATACAATTCTCTGCCAAGCTAGTCCGAAATCCTAACAATAATTTGAACAAAAGATTTATCTTACTATAAGTGCTAATTTGTTAACTAAAACTGTATGAACAGAAGTTTTAGCTTATGAAATAGCATGGAGAGAATGAAGAGTTTTTCAGGTAAAAGAAAAGTTTTGTAGGGAGATATTTGTCGCCTATGTGTTCTTACCTCATTCAAATATGGGAAAAATGTTTACGCACTTATCTGTATTTTTTTCAAAACCACAATCTTAAAAAATTATAAATATAAAGATTATTATATCTCTGATATAAATTAAAATTACAAAAACATCATGATTTTCGTCCCAAAACGACGTTGTATTGGATTTACTGTAGATAACTTATCTGCGGTAACTATAAAAAAGTCAAACCCTTCAAATATAATATAATTTTTTAAAAAAAAAAAAAGGTTTTGTATCATTTACTTGTGCAAAGACTATGAATTAAGATAATGTTAGGTGCTAAAATAAGAGTATTCAAATAAAAAAGATGCATAATTTAAGAGAGAAATATGAAATAATGGCAAGCGGCGTTAATAATTAGAAGATGATGTTGGTCCATCAATCATTTGAAGTGAAGATTTTGTTGATACTGTACTGTAGAGATTGCTAAACAGTCTTTTTTTTTTTTTTTTTTTGGTAAACAGTCTTTAAAATCATATTTTAGGGATTCCATTTTTTTTTTTTTACCCAAAATTGCAATGTTCATAAAGTGCTTGCAGCTTAAACCCATTGTGCAATAAAAGGGTGGTTCTATATGGGCACCCCTACTAATCACAGTTCTAACTTGTTTTGAACTTCACTGAAAATCCATATAACCAAGTAAATAATATTAAGCTTCATAGTATTTGCAAAATTTATGCCCTCATTCCCTCTAATTATAAACTACGTTTAAGGTTACCAAAAAAAAAAAACTACGTTTAATTCCCTTATTTTTTAATTTTTAGATAATATTCCTTCATTCATAAATTTCAAAAAACATATAAAATAAACAATCACAAAGAAGACTTTTGTATAATTTTCCTTTTTAAGGGTGCGTTTGATGCATATAAAAAGTAACATAAGTGATTGAATCATGAGACAATCTTTTGTGTTATTATTAGAGGATAAGGTTATATTTATCACCATTTTAGCTTTATCACTTTTATTATTTGTTTAGTTACTGTTAGATTAATTTGAAATCAATGACAATTAATTTTTTTTTCTACCGTTGATTTCAAATTGATATCATGGTAACCAAATAGATAGTAAGAGTAGTTAACCTAAAATGATGGTAAATATAACTGTCCCTATTATTAGAAAATGATTTTTTTTTTAATTAAAGAGACACTTGGTTGCAACCTAATAATTTAACGAAAATAATAAAATAATAATAAAAAAGGTTCATAATTTCATATGGTAATTAAAAGAAACACTAACCATTTTCTCATGTTTGTGCACTTGTTTTCTTTGAGAGAAAAAAAAAAATTGGTTAGTTATTGTAGGAAACATGGAATGTGCTCAACTAAGGCAAAGACATTTGGATGGTATCCACTTGAGTGGTTGAAATGGATTTTCAGATATTGTTGTCTTCCAATCTTGGTGAAAATTGGAATGTGAGTTGATCATGTTGTCTTCAACCTAACAGCATAAGCCTTTATTTAAAATCAAATTATTCAATATTTATTTTGTGTGTTTCTTCATATTAAATCTAAAAATATTCCAGAAAGAAAAAGTATTCTTGGCATCAACACACACACACTACCCTTTGTCTACAGACACCAAATTGGATCCCTATCGTCTACTGTTGAAAATAACTACAACGATCTTCATCATTAAAGTACTTTGTTTTATTTTAAAAAAATTATAAAAATTTGTAGCCTTCAAATTTGAACAAAGACGTGTTTGTGGTCTAATCAATGTATGTGTTGTGGGCCTTATTGAGTCATCTCCTTCCAGCCCGGTTTCACGTGTGCATTGTTATAGACCATACTCCTTGCTCATGCAAGAATCATGGCCACAAAAAAAAAAATCTAATGATTCTTATAAAGTGCATAAGTTGGATTTAATATTTTTTATTTTTTATATCAATTTATGAATTATTCGATTAATACAATTCGAGTCAGATAGAGATCTTATCAAATATTTAATACAGTTGCATATTTAAAATTCGAATTCCAAGTACTCTTTATCAATTGTTCCACACATTTAATAGTGTGCGGATTCAATTTCTGAGGTAAAAAAGTGGGAAAAAAAAGTTACTAAAACTCCAAATATTGTGTTATAAGTGTTGTATAATATGAATTTTACTCGTGGATCACTATTAAAATTTTAGAAGATTTATATTATAACATTTTGCTTGCTTATGACTTTTGGGTATGAAATGTAACTATCATGTATAATTTTGCATTGATATATAATTAGTCTTCCTGTTCATTCTTGGAGTCTTATACAAGAAAATGTATTCTATGAAAAATGAATAATAAGAATGGGAAATATTCTTCTACTTTCTTAACAGTTCATACTTTAATATTATTTATATTTTCTTCCTTTATTTCATACTTTTTCTATATACTCTCTTAGTTTTATAACAAACTAACAATTTCAATTTATTAGATATGTAAGCAGATACAAGCGAATCAATAATTAAAATTAAATATTATTCTTATACAAGTATGAATTGATCTTGTACAATATAAAAGAGATTAACTTTTGATATGTAAGTCACGGTGAAAGTAAAGCAATTAATTTGATTACTAAACTAAATAATCTTCTGAGAGATTTAAATCATTTAACGTCCCTTGAATAAAGTTATTAGTCGTCATAACTTTAAGAAACATGTATAAAAGTAAAATCTCTATAAGATAATGAGACTTTGTGCAAAATAACACTTGCTCTAATTACTTGTATGGTAGAAATAAGTTAGACTCTGTCTAAATAGAACTAGTCATATTTTGTAAAATGTCGATTATTTGAGCTTATTTAATTTGTTATTTATAATGGCTTTTTTTTGGGTTTCTCTAAATCTTTTATGAAAATATAAAAGTCTGACGTGATCACGAAAGTTTGTAAAGGCTGTAAGCATATAAAGATGTTTAAATAAAAATGTTTAATTTTTTATTTTAAAATTGTATAAATCTAAATATAATTTCTCAATTGACCAAAAAAAATTATATATTGTATAAAATTAATATGTATTTTCTAATTTTTTTGGTACATCATATTAAGAGATTAATGTTTCTCATCTTATGGGAGATAAAATTATTCCCCACACTCATGTAAAAGTACATGGAATTCATAGTTTTTCTCTCTCTTTTTTCTTCAGATGGCCCATATGAGTCTCACACATTTTTATGTATGTGTAAAAAATAAAATTATCTCCTACAACATGAGAAACATTAATCCTTATATTAATTATAATTAATAAATTATATAAGCATTAAATTTTTTTAATTATGATTCTCAATAATAAATAAATAGACTCAGACTTCAATCTACTTAATTAAATAGTTTTTTTTTTACCAAAATAAAAATTAAATAGTTTTTTTTTGTTTATGAAATAAATTAAGCCTTAAACTATAATATATCACCCAAGTTATTCCTGCTCATATAAGTTACGGGAATAATAATATGAGTGCATCATCGCAAGTAGGGGTGCTAAACGAATCAGGGGCCTTTGGCTCGGCTCGTGAAGGCCTGAATTTATATGTCTAAAATTGGTTATTGGCACAATATTTGAACTTGTATAAAAGCTCGTTTAATAAAAAGGCCTCAGACTCCAATTCAAAAGCTCAACCTTAGAGCTTCTCAGGCTGGCCTAGTATATTATTTTTTATTTTTATTTTATATTTTTTATATTACTTGTAATAGTCCTATCTTTCTCCTTAATCCATTTCATCCCATTTTATTGGTTAAACAAAGTTTTTGAATGATTTTATTCTATATTATGCTGTTTGGATATACATTAAATTTATGAATATTTATGAAATTACTAGTGCTGTTGATTGTATATTCTGTTTGGATAAATTTTTATTGTCTTATGTTTTTTTAAACAGGCTAACAGGCTAAACCAGACTTTTATTTTTTGTAAATAAACTAGGCCACATACCGATAATTATATTTATAATAGGTAATAGGCTTGGTCAGGCTGACACATTTAAACATAAGTTTAGTCTTTTAAGATCAAAGTTCGACTCGGCTCGACCCGTTAACACCCCTAATCGCAAGTAAATAATTAAACGAAGGAAGATGAAGAAATTCTAAGGAATACGAAGCCTAAGATATAATATGTGAAATGTTAATTTTTTTAGTTGGCGTTCAATTAATGCTAAAAACACCAAAATATATTAAAGGCAATTTCTATATAATTGACATGGATATAATTATGTGACATAACATTATTTATTTTTTTAGTAGGCTGACATAACATTATTTTGTTGTTGCTATATTAATGATTAATGCTACAAAATTTAAAATATATTAAACACAATTTCTATATAAGAGGAAGAACACAGAGTCACAGACACGCGTATCATTCGGATGCGGAACAGATTCTAGAAAGCCAAAAAGATGAAAGAAACGTGTGGACACTTGGCATTATAATTATTTTTGTCTTATCAGTTTTTCCTTTCTCCTTTTATTTTGTTTGATTGAGTTAGAAATTACGAGCTCAACATCAAATTTTTATTCTTGTATAATACAACGTAAGATTATTTCATATGTCTTATTAATTATTATTATTTATTTTAATAATTATTGGATCAAAGGAAGGTCGTATTTGACACAGGATTTGAGTTGTCAATATATATAAAGAGTCTCTAAATCAATACAGATGATGTATATGCATAATGACAATAAGGAGATTAGGATTTTAAAAGTATAAATGGCGAACACATAAAGTAACACACCATTTGATTAAAATTAATTATAATTTAATTTTTATATGAAATATTATTATAAAAAATTTCATTAATATTTAACAAGCTCAATAATATATGAATTGTAGAACTCATTAAATAATATTATAATGGACTATAAAATAATGTGTGTTTGATTTAATTTATTTATTACAAATAATAAAAAATAATTAAACATCATTTTAATTTTAAACTGTTTAAACATAAAGTAAATTAATCAAAGCATGCACTAATATATCTACTTGCTTTGAACATGTGTTTGAGTTCAAACACGACTTTCCTAATCCTTATCCATATTCACATTCACATTCGCAGTCACCCCCTAAAATTTTGTCGGACACCAACCTCATTTTGTTTGGCATAGATGGAAAGGAAAAAACAAGATGTAAATGGCTAACAAAACTTGTTCGCTGTGTTGTAGGTTTAGGATGTTGATGTTTATTTTTAAATTTGGATCCTTGTTAGTCTTTATATATATATATATATATATATATATATATATATATATATATATATATATATATATATATCTCAAGCAGCTTGAGATAAGTTTATCTCCGGCTACTCCAAAACTACGTTGTTTTATTTATTTATTTTCTTATATTAATTGATTCACCTCTGAAGGATTATGATTCCCTTTTTCTCTCTATTTCTTTATCATCATTGATCTATCTTTTTACAGTTATGATTTATTAACCGAAGATAAGATTATCTCAAGCAGCTTGAGAAACGATAAGTCCTATATATATATATATATATATATATATATATATATAAAATTATTTCTGCAGCTGCTTTACGTACAACAACGACAGATGTATGGTTATGATTCTCTACATTTAATGCTTTCATCCTTTGTATGGTTATAATTCTTCGCATTTAATTCTTTCAAATATATATATATATATATGTATATATATATATATATATATATATATATATAGCAAGTATTTGATTGCTGCACGTACAGCAACTGTAGAAATATAAATCTCTCTATATATATATATATATATATTATAAGGGAATTATACGTGTTATATTACATGAAAAATTAAATCTAAAAATTAAATCTATTCCTGCATTAATAAAAACTTGTGGATCCCACTAGCTAAAAAAACAAAATAAGAAATCATGACAATCGATACATCAATAAGAAAGGTGTTGTTTTTCCTACTACAGGATAAAAACAACACCCATATTATAATTCAATGATATTGGCATATCATTTAGGAAATTCGAATTACTTTGTATAGTAATAAAAAATTAATTCTTCGATTCCGCTTAAGTAATATTTTGGGTTCAAACAATTATAAATGCGAAAAATCCCTTTTGGGAGAGTTAGCCCTAGGCTATGTAGCACCGATACGACACACGACACGTGACACGACACGACACGACACTCCGACACGTCAATCCTAAAAAATTATGGATGTCGACACGTTGGGACACGTTTTAATATTAAATAATATTTTTAATTTATATAGTGTATATTTCATTTAATATTTAATAATTTAACAAAAAAATGAAACTGAATTAATAATACCCATCAATACGTTATAAAGATGGAAGCTTTAATCAAAAAAATAAGAATTGGGATGAGAGAGATATAATATCAGATAGAGAGATCTAATCATATTAGAGAGAGAGATCAGAGAGAAGAAGATACAACAAGAGCGTGATAGGAATTGATAACAATAATGCTGAGATGATCTCTTATCTACTTAAGGGGAAAAAAGACAAAAAGATAAAATTGATATGATCAGATGGAAGCTTTATTAATATATTTTAACTTTTTTTAAAAAAAAAAAATTTAAATTTTTTTTTAAAATTAAAAAAAATATAAAATAAAAATTACAAAAATGCCATTTGACCGTGTCGGACACGGTCAAATTCGCGTGTCGGAATGGTCAACGTGTCGAAAAAAGTCAACCGCGTGTCCGACACCGTGTCGGAGCGTGTCGCCGTGTCGGACCCGACTCTTCCTGTTTTTACAAGTGTCCGTGCTTCCTTGGCCCTAGGGATATGCAAAAGAACAAAAAAAGTGAACTAAAGTTTAAACTGAATCGAACTGCACTTGAAATAACCAGTTTTTAAAATTCAGTTCATGAATCAAACTGATTTTTAAAGAACCAGCTCAAGAACTGATCTGGTTTTCAGAAACTAGTTTAAGAATCGAACCGTTTTCGAACCGAACCGAACCAAACCGGTTTCAAACTGAACCGAACCATTTTATTTTTTTTCTTTTCTTTTCAGAATAAGTTCGACCCGAATCGAACCGACCCAGTTTCAAAACAAACTGAATCGGTATCAAACTAAACTGAACCGAACAGTTTAAACCAATTCGGTTTAGTTCTTCAAAAATTTCAGTTCAATTCGACCTATGCACACCCTTAGGCCCTAGCTAGCCCTACCATGATGTGGATATTTTCAGATTGAACATAATTATCTCCCATGGAGGATCCATGGTTTATTAAAAAAAAAAAAAAAGACTTGCAAAGTAATAAATTAAAGGGAGATCATATTTTTATGTTGCACGAGATTGATCTTTTATATTACTCTTACTTTGAAAAATGTGCCTTTCTTTTTTCTTTTTCTTAAAATTAGTGGGGCTCATTTTATTTATCTCATAACATGAGAGAACTTCTCAGAGAAGTAATCCCCTAAATTACACGGGGTTGGTTTGGTAATATGCTACCATGACCAAAGAATATGGATATGCACATAGTATTAGAATATTATATCAATTATTTGGAATCAAAGTTGCAAAGAACATCGTTGTGAATCTCTTAGTTTAAGCATGGATGACTTAGCTTTAATTAGTCTAAGCACATCAACATACCATCTCCATTTTAAACCACGTTATCAATCTCTACGTAAACAAAAACAGAAGAATTTTTTTTTTCTTTCTCACAAACCAAAATAATATTTTTTTGGAAGCTGTAGATTAATAGGGAAGAAAAAGATTAAGCAACAAAAACTTAAAAGAGACATGTACTATAATTTCATTGACCACTCTTCCTGTTTCATGGATGGTGTGGATAATGTTGTCAAGTTAAAATAGTGAAGCTCATCACCGTCAGAGCCAGATTAGAAAAGGTTGATGATGTCCCCATTTGTCTGTGCCGACTGTTGAACAGCAAAGCCAGCATTAAGCTTTGGTCCAACAAGGAATTCTTGGACACTTCATGAACAAACCATGTCCAGCTTTTGTTGCCTTTTTTAACGATTATTGGAATGAGTTGTAATTCATTTGGATTTCGATTCATCATTCCAAATGACCCACATTTTTTTTTCCTACATGAACTCAATAATGTTTCTGTGTGTCTTTTAAAGTGCAAGTTATGTTTAAAACTAAAAAAAAAAAAAGAATCCAAAGCTTAAACAATGCAAGACATGTTAGAATTTTTTTTTCCTCTACATGAATACTATTAATTAATTAGTTTTATATTTTTAAATTAACCAGGTTAATGGATATTCTAATTTAACTATTATGATGAGTCAATGCGATTATGATTAATTGAACTTTTAACATTAATTAGTCCTGAGTCTAGTTGTGTATCACAATATATGATTGATGTTGATTAATTTCTATGATGGGTGAACCTAGTAAATACATTGCTAATTAGGATTATGCTAGGTCTAATCTTTAACCTATATATGATAGCGTTAAATCCTAAGAATCATCATGCTTCCATTGCACAAAAACTACTATTGTCTTCACCCACCCTCAATTCTAATTCATTTTTTTGGCAATCCTGCCAGTTATAAGGATGAGGGCGAGTTTTGGAGTAACCATAAGATTGAACAGTGGTAAGATAACGACAATGCATAAATCTCTTGGATTAGTGCATCCTAGAATATAGTAACATATATTTCCTCTATTATTTTATGTGAGAGTTATGTTCCTGTCTGTTGGCAAGTTAGGTTCATATCCAAGATTGAGAGAACCTGGAAGATACCACAATTCAACAAGACAAAAGAAAGTATAATTACAGCAGGAGTTGATCAAAGTATCACACTATTCACTCCTTCCATTACAGCCCAATAAGTCAAGCAAATGAGAAACAGTTTCAGTTAAAACCAAATAACAATAACAAGGTAACTAACTTATCAACAAAATGAAATTCCAAAAAATCTGTTTTCCCAGCTGAGCTGAAGAACCATGTTAGTTTACTGCCTTGTTGAAACCCCAGGAAACAAAGCTATCCTGCGAACCAAATTCCTATAAAAAAACATGAAAACGCATTAAAATGACATAAAGATGAATTTCATTTTAACATGAAATCATTGAGAACATGGGAATACCAGCTGACTTAGTCGAAACTCTGAAGGTGTATCATGATCTACATTTGCAGGATCAAGGACAAGATTTTGGCACTCTTCAATGTCTTTCTTCAGATGCTCTGGTCCTAGCTGAGCATAAACAGAAAGACTGGGTTGGTTCATATGTTCTCCATCTTTCCCATCCCTATTGGGAGACTGGCTTTGAAGTAGATCATCACACAAGGACAATGCTTCGACCAGTTGTTGTGAATCCAACAGATTCTGAGACTCACTATCCCACCATTTTTGTCCTTCGTCACCATTATTTTCTTTATTATCCATCCCTTCATCATGTTGAGTTTCTACCACGGATGCATCAGTTTTTGCAAGTTCTTCGCAATCGGCTCGAATTTCATCTAAACACTCCATCTGAGGCAGCTTCTGTGCAATATAGTGCAGAATACAAAAATAAAACAGGAATTATCAACTTCTGTAAGTGCTATTTTCAAATATCACTAGACTATATCATCACAAGTAGCACCTAGCATAAGTAATCTCAAAACACATCAAGAATAAGAAGTTTAGCTAAGTGGCTAAGTTACATTCAGAATTAGATGTAGCATTAATCAATTAAGCATGAAAGTCCAATTAAAATTATGAGATAAACCAATGCAGAAAAAACACATTTCAAAGATTGAATACAACAAAACATTTTCCTTTTGCTTTTATATAAATAGTACAACTATCATATAAAATCCCTTTACATTAGCTATAATAATTGAAAACAAGGAAAACAAAAAGGACAAAAAAACACATTCAAATATTTAAAATAATTAACTTAGAAGTGTAATTATGACCTGGTTAAAGAATATCATGTTAGTCACTCTAACGCAGAATGATATGATACCACCCTAAGGACAGTGTAGGGAAAGCAATATGGCTGACTCAACAAGGCTGCAGTTATAACCGCTTGAACAAATGGCAATTCCTTTTTCACTGTGTAGAATCAATGGGATTTTCGTGTGAAAAATGGGGTTCAAAGATGAAAACAAGTAACCGATAGGGCTAGGCTTGGATTACCGAGTGCGTTGATTGCGCAGCTCATTGATAATTCCCTGTCGGCCTTTGTATGTAGCGCTTTCAGGTCCTATCCATTCAGGGGTCCTTTCTTTAAGAAGATACCTCAGGTTAAGTCCTTAACTTTAAGAGTAGGACAGCCTTTGTTTGGGTTATACAACCTAATTTTAAAATGGTACATTCATTATCTGATATGTCCTATTCCCATAACAAAAACAAAACACACAATAATAAAGTGGTCATGGCAGAGCAATAATAGGAAACAGATTTTGATATTTGATAGCAAGAAAATATGGTTGAAGGTTTTACCTGAGGAATGGTATGTGTTTCCTGTCCTAAGTCTAGAGCTGAACATCGCCTTTCATTATAAGGAGGCTGAGGGGTCACTAATTTGGGAGTGACTGGATCCACTTTCACAATTGTTGCTTCAGTCGTTTCAATGGCTTCAGCAACATCCTGGTCATCTTTATCACCCAATTTGACTTGCTGTTGCTGATAAAACACTTTAGAGATAACATACTCACCATCCTTTTCATCTTCATCTGTTCCGAGGTGATATTGATGCATAACCCAATTAGTTTTCTCAGTTTTTCCTCCTGTTACAGGGCTCATATACAGAACCATAATCTTTTTGCAGCCTTTTTGAACCCCATTCAAGATGACTGGTTTAGTCTTGCCAGTCTTGTGCCAGCGGACATCACCCACATCCTGACCTTGTATTTTCCGGCGCTTTCGAGTGCCAGTATTATAAGCCTTGATTGCTCTGTGGAAGAAGTGAGAAGCACTTCCATCTCGCTTGACACCTAATTTTTTATCATAGATTATCATATGGCTTGAAAGGGAATTATGAATTCGAATTTGAAAAAAACTTAGGCTACCAACCAGGTAAATTTTGAGGATGAGTATAACAAATTCCATCATCCACTTCAAGAGTAGTGATAAACTCGTCAATGAAAGGATGAGGTTTTGAATTTCCTACACCAACTTTTGCAAGCAAGTGCCAAATTATCTCCTGGTCAGATGGATCAAATTTGACACCTTTTGGTAAGCCAGGCCACTCTTGTGTCACCTAATAACAGAAAAAAATTCAAATGTCAAAACATTTTTATAATTATTAAGTGCTATACTTGGGAATATAGATTAGAAAGGATGAAGTTTCAATCTTAACTTCATTATGTTTTTATTTTTAACTTTTGATCCAATAATGCTAATCATTTTAAGACATTTCTAAGAATCCAAATATATGGCAAGTAGCATTACTGAAAAGAACAAAAGAAAATACTCAAGTAACAAAGCTATAAGGACATATAGCTTATGAGTTGGGAAAATCCCAACCCGACCCAAGTAACCATGGATTACAGGCTAATCAGGTTGCTCTGCCTAAATAAAAAGACACAAAATTGTCATAAAATAATTCAAAAAACATAACAAATAATTTAATAGATTGTCCAATATCCAAACAAATTGAAGCAATTGGGAAGATTTTTTTGACAGGTCAACCTGCACTGAATGCAGTCCCAATCAAGGGCAAGGGTAGTGACCCACTTTTATATGGCTTATTGAAACAGGACCCAACCCTCCCCAAAAGCATGGTGGGCAGGGCCAATCCCACAGGTTTGACCCATATTGGCATATGCACTTGAGATGTGTGATGGAAAGGAGCAACATAAACAGTGACTGTAGCCCACTGCTTATGGTGTCATGTGTCTAACAGAGTGGGCAAAGGCCAGAAGGCACAATATGATATATGAAAGAGATTCCATTTACAACTGACAGGTTCCTTCAGCAGAAGTTTAGAAACATTATTATATAGGATAATCCATGCGAAGAGTAATATAATGCTCCATGCAATCCAATAATGGCAATAGCCTTAGAGGATTTTAAAAGTACGTGCACAAATTTTATTGATTACATACAACTTAGTTCTGATTTTCCCTTTTCCCATTGCTTCTGCATAAAAGGCTTGATGATTTGCAAAGCCTATCACATCAATTGCCAAGAATTTATGATAAAAACAGATACAAAAGCAAAGAAGTATTTGTATTACTATTTGTACAGGGAATACCGTATCAGGATTGATACGGTATGTATTTATATGCTTGAAGGAAAATTAACATATTCTATACACTTGTCTCAACCTTGAAACAAGAACCTATTACTTCTAATACGGTTGAAAATTCATTTTCGTATACAATATCAATAAAGATCATTTTGGAACCAACCAAAACATGAACTGAAAATGACAATTTCTCATAACAGCAATTATGCTTCCAAGCAAATGATATTTAATATGAAGATGAAAATAGGAGCATATAAGCAAATTTTACATCAAAAATTAATTCTCTTGTTGATTGCTATGCAATGAACACCTATGCAAAAAAGTCTGAAACTGAAAGTAAATAGTAAAATAAGGGCAACTGACTTGCACTACTGCAAATTAGATCATAAACTAGTATACTGATGTTACTAACTTCTAATGACAAATAAAAAGAGTGGCTATTTCCTTTCCTGGTTTTAATTTAATACTGAAATTCTTATCCATTTAAATTTCACATTTAGTTCAGTTAGGCAGCAACTAGCAACCCTTGTCTCACTTAGTTACAGTCTATTGTAGCTTCAACATCGGAATAAGTGCAAAACCTTTCCATTGCTTATACAACAACATTTATGCATTATCAATAGCTAATCTTAATGAATCACTATAAAATACAAGCAAAACTCGGATAAATATGATGAAAAATACTTATTTACACTTGAGAAAATCAATGGTACTAAACTAGAGACGAGAAAGATTGAGAGTGAACATAAACTATGAATGAACTTTATATAAATAAACTAAGATACATGCAAATTCTACCAAAATATATGTACTGCTGAAATCTACTAAGGAAAATAAATAGCTAAATTATAAAAATAAAAATACACATACATCACTGTTATCCATAGCATATTGACAATTTGGGCAAGCCTTGGAGGGATTGCTTTTCCATATAACTTTTTCAGGATCACATGCTCCTGATGCACTCTTTATTTTGGTTGCGATTCTACTTTTGTCCACCAACCATGATGGTCTGCATAAACAAGAAGAGCTACAAAGTTTTAAAGAGTCTATGGTCAACTATAGATCCTAGTAAGGAGTCAAGACAAGATAAATGGTAAAAATAAAAATGGTCCAAAAAATGAGATTAAAATGATAAAAAGTGTCACCTATTATGAGCCGCAAGAAGAATAACAAATATTAAGAACTAAGAATTAATGAATCAAAAAAGAAAGTTGCAATTGGCAAAATTAACCAAGAGTGTCCTCTTATCTTCCTACGAAGATGGCTTAGAAACTCAGAAGACACAAGTAAGCCACACAATCTAAGAGCCTTATCAAGACAAGAAAATTATTACTTGGCTGGGACTGCATAAGTCCAAAGTGTAGATTTAGGTAGTTATTAATATCAGAACTCAACAAACATTGAGGAGCGGACGGGCATTTCCGTTTAGATTTAGATAAAACATACAAATTCTAAGCTAAAATAAACACAACTACAAGATTTGTCACTTATCTAGTTATTCTGAATTCCAAATTAATGGTGAAGTTGAAAACAATAATAACCATGTCAATCAAACGGTGCATTCTTCAATTAAAAGTATTATCATCAAATGGGTAAAGAGTACAAAAAAATAAAATAAATAAAATCAACTTTTAATTGCTTTCAGGATCTTCCATTCCCCTTTTAATCATAGAACTATGAACATAGTAGGGATGAACCCATCACAGAAATTCAACCAAAATATGAAAAAAAAAGCCATCTTTTTTTTTTCTACATGAAACTAGCTAACCCCAGTAAGACCTTCCCTTTTTCTTTCAATCATAGAACAATGATCATCGCAGAGACCAACAAAACCTACTCAGAAATTCCACCAAAACACAAAAAAAGCTATATTTTTCGCATAAAACTAGTAACCGCATGTACAAACTTCCACTTCCCTTTCGATCATAGTACAACGAGCATAGCGAAGATGAAGCAACATAACTTGAAATCTCACCAGAACACAAAAAAAGCTATCATTTTTCACAAGAAACAATTTCAATAGACAATGTTCTTGTACTTCTTCTATGATGTTACAGGGGGAAAACCAAGTGAAAAATGGAGTTTGATAGTCAAACATGGTAAGTGCATACCCAGCCATAGGAGAATGGTAGATGATGATGCAAATCAAGTCAGAGATTCAAATCCTTATTTTTCTGATTTTTCTAGGCTTTTGTTTCTTTCTGTCTTCTCCACTATGAGTCTCTGAGAAACTTCCAATGATGCAAATAAAAATAATGAAAAGCTAAGAATATGACTTATTCAAAAAAAAAATTCTTAATTTTTTCTAATTGTATATGACTTATTCAAAATTTGAAAGTTGTTTAGTGTTGTTTGTAAATAGGCTAAGAATATTAAATAAAAGCGCCGAAATAAGGACAATAATAACAGTGTTGTTGACTGACTGACTCTCAGATACCTTCGCGGATTTTTAGGTTTTGAATGGTTAGTGAAGGTACAAAATGTCAATTTCAATTTCATGCTTTGTTTTTGGATTATAATATATTAAAAAAAAAATTTGGTATGGATAATATATTAAGGGTATGTTTGGAACACCTGATAAAGAAGATAGGATAGGATAACTTATCATATCTTACTTTTATCTCTTATTTGGTGGATCAATATGATATGATTAGCTTATCATATTATCTCATTTTATCCTATTCAATACATGATTTTTTATCCTGTGGGAGGTGTTGGGTTAGGATTCAATAGGATAGGATACTAATATTGGATACCCAATATCTCCCCACGCTATCCAATGTATCCCCACACTACCCAATATATTTGTATTTATTGCATTATATTTTATTTTTTCTTTCTCTTTTCTCTTTCTACATAATCTTATCAGATTGTCAATCAGGTGCTCATCAAACACAGGACATGATATAGGCTTATCAGCCTCATATCATATCCTACCCTTATCAGCCCCATATCATATCCTACCATTATCCTATCATGTCCACCAAACGAGCCCTAAAGGGTTTTATTAATCTTATGTTAAAGGACATAAGTTATCTCATGTCATAGAGATAAATTCGTGGGCTCCACTTCTTGAAAAATAAAAAGAAAAGAAAAGAAAAATGTGGCACAGTTATCGAAGGATGTGTAAGAGAGAAAGTTATCACATGTAACAGAAGAGTAGTTTTTTCCTATATTAAAATTAGATTAATAGGAAACGAAAATAAAGAGAATGTACAAACAAAAAATAGATACAAAATCATTTCTTTCTTTATATGTTTGGATGAGAGAAAAATAGATAAAATGAAAAAAAAAAGAGCTGTTAAGAAAATTAAATAACAAAACTGTATATAAAATGATGGGGCAGGTGAAGGAAGCACGGACACTCCAAAAAAGACAGAGTGTCGTGTCTGACACGCTCCGACATGCCGACACGCTTCGACACGGTGTCCGACACGCGGTCAACATTCTCGACACGTTGACCATTTCGACACGCGAATTTGACTGTGTCTGACATGTTCCGACACGCTCTGACACGGTCAAATGACATTTTCGTAAAAAAATCATTTTTTAAAAAAAAATTACTTTTTTAAAAATTAAAATATATTAATAAATCTTTTTTTTTTGGAGGTTACAAGGAATTGAACACAACACCCTACACTACACACACTCTTAACACACACCCCCCACACCACTAGGCTAACCCTAGTGGTGCATTAATAAATCTTCTACCTGATCATATCAATTTATTTATTTTTTTGCCTTTTTTCCCCCTTAAGTAGATAAGAGATCATCTCAACATCATTGATGGGTATTATTAATTTAGTTTCATTTTTTTGTTAAATTATTGAATATTAAATGAAATATACGCTATATAAATTAAAAATATTATTTAATATTAAAACGTGTCCCAACGTGTCAAAATCCATATATTTTTAGGATTGACGTGTCGGAGTGTCATGTCACGTGTCGCGTCGGTGCTACATAGGGCAGGTTATATTTACAAACTTTTTTGTTTACAAACTCTTACAAACTACACTATCTTCTCCTGGGAGAACACTCACTGTGTTCTCTCGAGAGAACATAGTGCAATTTGTAAAAATTTATCAAAAAAGTTTGTAAACGGATCCTTCCCCTGAAATGATATGTACATGTAATGTCATTAATGAGATAGAAGCATATGTTATTTATTATTTTATATCTTTTAGCATTTTCTTTTTGAAATTTCAAAAATAAATAAAATTGATGATAAATCTTATTGACATTTTTGATAAATAAAATATGGATTCGCTTTTTTTGCAGTTACTGCAGATAAGTTATCTGCAGTAAGCCCAATACGACGTCGTTTTGGGGCAGAAATCATGGTATATTTGTAATTTTAATTTATTTCAAGATTATTATAGTCTTTATAATTATAATTTTTTAATATTTCAATCCCAAAATGACGTCGTTTTGGTAGTATCTGCAGTATCTGCAGAAATATTTTTCTCTTAAAATATTTGTATTAACATTTATGAATTTAAATTTTGCGGCATCAAGGATTCGAAACCCATGTGGAGTTCATGAAATTGCAACCAATATTACAAAACTTGGATCCACTAGTTGGATTGATTCGGAAATCGGTGAACTGGTCATATGACAAGTCTGATTTTTATATTAGACCAACCATGTTATAAAATCGGTGAAACCCAGAGTGACTCGGTTGGTTTTTTGTAAGAACCAGTAACTCGGTCGGTTCAACCGATGACCCCACACGATTCTTAATAAAAAAAAAACTAGTTTGTTCTTATTAATTGATACCTTTATTTTTCACTTTCACTCGCAAATGGTTTGTTTTCTTTTGAAATATTTGAGTGATCTGTAGCTTATTAACTTCATAGATTATATATCTACAACACTAATATTATATTGGTTATGCAATATGCTATGAATTTTGATTTGATTTATTGTTAGAGATGTCATCTACTGAACCTGAAATACCAATATCACAAGTATTATATGCAATGTTGTGAAAATCGAACCGGAGAGGCCGGATCGACCCGGAACTCGGTGTACCGGTCATCTAACTGATTCAATTATCTCATTGGATCGGCCAAGTACCAGACCCGGTACGACCCGACCGGTTTTGGTGAAAACTGGTGACCCGTCCTGGGTTTGGTGAAAAAAAATTCAAAAAAAAATTCAAAAAATATCATAATTGACAAATTTGAGTGATCTGTTACTTATTGACTTACATAAGTTATGTACCTACAATACTAATATTATCTCAGTTATGCATTATGTAGGGAATAAGTTAAAGATGTCGTTTACTGAATTTGAAATATCAATATCACAATCATTATATATTTGTTTGATCCTTTATTGGACAATAATGTATAATTTATTATTTTATATATTAAAACATTTAGAATTTATTTTATTTTTTTCCAGCTTTTTGAATATGTTTATAATTTTTTAATATAAATTATAGATTTATATATAATTACCAAGTCATGCGGTTTAGCTAGTGATCTACTGGTTGAACTACTGACCCAATGACCCTATACTTCGACCGGGCTGATTTTAAAAATATTGATTATATGTTTGATTGATCTTTTGTTGGACAATGATGTACAATTTATTGTTTTTCATATTAAAATATTTGAAATTATTATTATTTTTTATAGGTATTCAAGTATATTTATAAATTTTTTAATATAAATTATAGATTTACATATACTTACCGGGTCAAGCAGTTGAACCAGTGACTCAATACCTCAAACGAATCAATAACCGGGTCAAGTTTAATAATATTAGTTGCAGCACCTACCACTATATTAGAGTCACTTACTTGTCATATTGCATATTTGAATATATTTATTATATATTTTAGTTAAATTTAGTTTAACTGATTGAACCAGTAATTTATTGATTAAACCCGTTAACTAAATATCTTAACCGAGTCGATGCAGGCCAAGTTTTAAAATACTGTTGTAAGGTCTAATTTCCACAGTCTAATTTCGTGTTTAAACACCATTTTTTTAGTTTTAGATTAAAGTAAGAGTAAACACCATTTTTGGTCCCTGGCAATATCTACGAAATCCTTTTTAGTCCCTGGCAATAAAAAAGGACCAAATTGATCCCTAACAGTATGAAAAAAGGGTCACGTTAGTGACGAATGAGTTGACATAAGGACTAATGTGGCCCTTTTTTTCATAATTTTAGGGACCAATTTGGTCTTTTTTTATTGCCAAGGACTAAAAAGGATTTCGTAGATATTGCCAGGGACCAAAAAGGGTGTTTACTCTTAAAGTAAAAGAGTCCAAGCTTAAAATTCGGGTTGCGTTAATATGTGTGTCACTGAAATGCGTCTACTAGTATCAACTATGGGAAAAGTCAAAAGTGTTTATTTTTTTAAATGACACAACTTATATCATTTTATTATCATAAAGAGGTATGATAAACCTTTGGTTTACCATGTTTTTAGGCTAAATTATATGAGAAATATATCATAGATTGCATGGGATTCAAGGTTTTACATCATATAAGTCATAAGATAGGAAATTGAGCTAACGTTTTGAAGTTCTTTGCATTTTGAAGGTAAAACCACACTTATTGGTGCTAAAAAGTGATGAAGAACTCATGACAAAGAGTTGAGGCTCAAAATGGACCAAAGGAAGCCAAAATATTACAAGTCAAAGGTCAGAATAGCACGTTCGAGCGCACAGAATGGACGCTCTAGCGCGTGCAGGTAGGAAAAAAAGCCAAATTGAGCAATCCAGGACGCTCAAGCGCACAAATGCACGCTCAAGCGCCCAAGTCTACAAAAATTCACCATCGAGGAGCGCGCTCGAGCGCACATGTGGACGCTCGAGCGCGTAAAGGCAGGCAAAATCCAGTAATTCAAGCTCAATAGACGCTCAAGCGCCTAGTAGCGTGCTTGAGCGCCTAAACACGAACCAGTCAGCCCAAGATTTGATTAGATTTGCCAATGGATACAGAATTGTAATATTTTGAATGAAAGCGGAAACAAATCAATCTTGATTTATCGATTGATAGAGATCCCTGGGAAGATTTGATGAGGGATCATAACAAAGATTCGAAGCTCAATCTGTCACCCAATCTGCAAGATCTTAGATAAAAAAATGAAGCGATTAAAGTTTTGATTGCAAATTTGATAAGGATTCATTGGGAGAATTGAAAAGATATAGCTTCAATGGTTATAGATAGGGAGCTCAAGGTCAAGTAAAAAAACCAATTAACGAATCCAAGAGATTACAAAGAGACTTGAGGGAGGAATCCTGTTGCGGAGCGCTGGAACACTGAGGAACCAGTCAACATCACACCAATGGAGGTTTGAGGTTCTCTTATCTTTATTATTGCTTTTGAATTCAGTATGCTAGGTTAGACTTTTATGTAGTTAGGGGTAGATGGAACCCAATTGAATCTTTATGTTTATGAATTAAATTGTTTATGAATTCCTCTCTTTTTGTATTTGAATGAATTTATCTGTTTTTAATGCTTTCTACGAGTTTGCTCCTTATATATTGATTTAGGAGAATTGCATGACAATATGGATGTTGGTGCATGAACCCTGACTTGGTAAATTTATCACAATCCTTGTGATCTAGGGATAGACATAGGGCAATTGTACAATCTTTAAATTCTTGATCTTAATGCATGTTTTCTTGGGGAATAATCGGGGAACTAGAGTTCTTTCAATATCACATAGATTTAGGGTAACAAGGAATTGAGCCCTAATTAAATTAGACAGAATTGATTGGCATTATATTAAGAACAGATTCTTAGCAGTTTAATTCATAACATATAGAGGAGATTGGGGGAAGTTGAAACCTTAACTACGTTCTTTCTTGATTTTCAAAACTTTCATCTTTTTACTTTCTTGCTTTTAATTCTGAAATTGCATGTTATTGATTGTTTTCAATTTCAATTTTCTCAAATCCCAATCTTTGTTGTCCAACTAAATCGTTGTTAGCGAACTAGTGCTTCAACCAATCCTCGTGGGAACGATCTCGTACTTAGTACTTTTTTATTACTTTTACAACTGGTGCACTTGCCGAAGTCGCAACAAGGTGGAATCCATATCTTTATATTTTTTTGTCCATTCTCTCTTCTCCTTTATCTATCTCTTTCTCTCACTTAAAATGACATAACTTTACATCTTTTAAAATGATACACACTTTTTCTATTAACTATTCCAAGAAGCCAACCGTCTTCAATGGAAATTAAAATAAAATAGAAGGCTTTATTATTTTATATATATAAAGGAAAGTATCCGTTTTTAAATTTTTTTTACAAATTACATTATGTACTTCTGAAAATACATAATGCAACCTAGTGTACTTTCAGGAATACATAATGTAGTTTGTAAATAAATTTTCCATATATATATATATATATATATAAATATATATATATATTTATATATATAAATGGGATAGGATTCGTTTACAATTTTTTTTTTGCAAATTACACTAAGTACGACCGGTCGTACACTGCATGATTAAAGTATGACCAGTTAGGGGTGGTCATCAACCGATCCAGACTGATTCAAACCGCAATAACCGAACCGAAAAACCGATAACCGAATAAACCGAAAACCGAAAAATCAAAAACCGAAAAAAATACCGCAAATTTTAATTGGATTAGATCGGTTTTCGGATGGGTTAATAAAAACCGATCCAATCCAAACCGATCCAATATATTAATTTCTCTTTACCTACTTGGGTTTTTTTTTTCCAATCATAGCCCAAAAATTTCTAAACCAAAGATCCATTAACCATCAACTAAACCCAAGAAAAAGCCTAGTCACATCTCATTAACAAAATTTAATTTGTGTAGAGCTTCATATCTCATTGCCCAAAAAAGAAAAAACTATATTATCGTTTAATGATGCTTTTGTATTTAAAAAAAATAAAATTACAAAGTCAGTATATACAAAAGATGTTATTTGCACAATAATCATGAAACAAATTTTAGGATTTTAAAAAAACCGAAAACCGATCCAATTCAAACCGAAAAAAATTAGATTAGATCGGATTGGATTTGAAAAAAAATCCAAACTGAATGGATGATTACATGATCAAACCGAAGGGATTGGATCGGATGATTTTTGCTTTCAAAACCGATCCAATCCAGACCGCGAACACCCCTATGACCAGTCGTACTTAGTGTAATTTGTAAGAGTTTGTAAACAAAAAAGTTTGTAAATATAACCTTCTCCTATATATATATATATATATATATATATATATATATATATATATATATATATAACTAAAAATTATAATAATATCGTGAAAAAGTAGTAGTGTGTACTAACGGACTTGAATTTCAATTCACACGAGAAAATGGAGAATTAGTTAAACTGGACTCCATGAATTTTCAATAAACCGTCTGAATGTGAAAAATGAATAGATAATTCGTTATTCTTTTTAAGTTAAAAGATATTATTGTGTATTAAAGAACTTATATCTCAATCGACACCATGTTATGATGATATAGGACGCTTAATCATTGACCAGTCCACTTTTTTCACTCTTACTATATTGTTGTGCCTTGATGTACATAAAACAAAAAGAATGAAAGAAATAGACTGTAATATTGTGCCCATAAAATTAAGGGGTTTAATTTTCTCATGCATGTTGAATGAAAATTCAATTATCATGTTGTAGAGATAAAAAGTATGTGAGATTCATGTATTAGAAAAAATTATATATAGAACCCATGTCAGCACGAAAAATTGAAGGGTGTGTAGGAAAATTTTAATTCTCATGTTGAATGAGAATTATAAAACCCTAAAATTAAATAGGTGAAATAAATATGCGAGAGAAAAAAGGTATTGAAGAACAATGAGAAAAATGGATGCATAAATTTGGTTATTATTTTTAAGCAACATTATTAATAATTTTATATTTCATTTATAAATTATTGGTTGAATACTGAAATGAACTAAGAACTTTGGGAATGAAATAAGACTTTTTTTTGGTATCTATGAGTAATATTCGATATTTGTTTGGTAAGCTAATATTATATTTAAACATAACTATATAAAATACCGGGAGAGTTATGTTTGTGATTTTTTATTTTTTTTACAAACTCTTACAAAATATACTATATATTTGGGGGAGTACATTCATTTAGGGATGTAGTACTCGCCAGAGTATATAATATAATATATAAATAAAAATTTATAAATATAACATATCCCATAAAACACATGGAATCAATATTTTAATAATTATTTTAAATCTTCAACTTTAGGGTCAATGTTGCTCCTAGTTTTTTCTTTCTTCTGTGTTGTTTTTTATTCCTTTTTGCATGAATAGCTTTGTTTTATGGGTTTGGTATATATTATATTATAGGAGATTAAATTATCTCCTATATACAGATAAAAATATGTGGAGCCTATATGGGTCCATATGAAAAGAAGAAAGAGGAAAATAAAACATAAATCTCACATACTTTTATATATTTATATTATCTCCTATAATATGAGAAACAATAAAATCTTATTTTTATATGCCAATAATTTCCATAAAATCGAGATTGTGAGCTTTCATACGTAGTAGTCGGTGGAGATTTGATGAAGTTTATAACTTCGAATCATGGTAATTAAAGAGCTGGCTTATTAATTCAAAAAACTAAAATCTACGACCAAATTATGATTATCACATGTCCAAGTGTCCAACCACCAAAACTAAAGTCAAGTCAATTCTTTTAAACTAATACATGATATGATGCTTCCAAGTAATTCTCTACTTGATGATGAGAGCCTAGTACATCAATAAAGTGACGTGCTGGTAACAATAAATTACTAACATATTTGAAGATATAATATAGGAAAACAAGTTGAATCAATATGGGAGAATGTGACTTCTATATATATGTCACAAAGGTTTAGACCAAATCATACACAAACCCGTATCATAAACAATTTAGTTTCTTATCTAAGTTCTCTCTTTCCAAGGAACATTCTGCTTTAGGAGTTCATACAAATGGGGTTTCTTGATCATCTTCCTCAATGTTTCACTGCTTCATCACCAAAGAAGAAATTTATGCCCAAGCAGGTTTTTTTCATTTAGCATCTTTTGCTACGTGTGTCTTTCTTTTCATACTATAGACACATATATATGCACATATATATGTATAAGTAGATATATACCCTCCTGAGCTTTTCTCTGTCTAAACTAATCAAGAAATTCGATTTGTTTGTTCATTATTAGACAGTTGATATCTGGGTGAAAATGGACTGTGAAGGTTGTGCAAGAAAAGTTAAAAAGGCAGTGGAAGACTTGGAAGGTTCATATAAAGCTCTCTTGTTTTTCTCTTTCTATTATCTGTCGGTAAATTAGCACTTTGACTACCGTTTTTGGGTATTACGAGGATTTCAAAAACCCGTTCTGTCCATCCCCATTCCCTAAGACCTTACAGAACAAATCAAGTATAAATTTACCATATATTTGAGACCATATACTTTTTCATGCATGTACATATATATATAGATAAACTAATAATAATCAAAAAGATTAAAATGAAGAAAAGAAAAAGAAAAAAAGAATTGTCTTCAGGTTTTAAGCACACTCAACCCTTAAAAGCAGCACTAAAAATTTGCTGTGAGAGCAATACGTAATTAAATTTAAAAAATACTTTAAATTTTCTTTATATGTAAGAAATGATAAGATTAAAAATTGATAGGCCAAACTGAAAGGGGCGAACTTATGTTATAATATAAAGTTATATGTTATATAACCTTCACTACTAAAATAATATACATGTACCACACTACGTTGTTTATCCAATAATAAAGGTCAAACCTCAAAACTATCCGACACCATTTTTTATGTTTGATCACGATCAGCAAACATCCTAACCTTGTAACCTTAGAGCTAGGTACATGGTTGAGATCTTACTCATGTATGTTTTTTTTTTCATTTTTATATGCCTTCTTAACAAACTCTTGATCTTCTTCTATGCAACTTCCAACCCATCATAATCTGACTTAATGTGATAGTTCTATTATTATATAACTATATATTGAAGTCATCATGCTTAACACCAAACAAACAAAAATGATAAATAAGTAAGAGGTGCAAGTAGGACGAAATAATCAAAGTCCAATTGAGGCATATCTGTAATCAAACTCTTAATTAAAATGATCTAATATTGTCACTACTCCTCACAGAATTTGAGATGGACTTGTTCATTTAGTTAATTTTGTGATGAGAAAGTGAATGGTTTCAGGGGTAGAATCAGTAGAGGTAAACCAAAAGCAACAGAGGGTAACAGTGACTGGTTACATAGATCCAAATGAGGTACTGGAAGAAGTTCAGAACACAGGAAAGACAGCAGACATTTGGTCCTTTGATCCGTACAACTCAGTGACATATCCTTATGTAGATGGGGCTTATGACATCGAAGCACCAATTGGTTTCGTCAGGAATGTTCCTCAAGCAATGGAAGACCCTAAGTCTCCAGAGATGAAACTTATGGTGCTCTTTAATGATGATAACCCAAATGCATGTTCAATCATGTAATCAATCCACTTGTACTTTTGGATCAACATGCTACATATCTTCTTTGTTTTGTTTAGCTAAGTACAAAAGAAATATGATCCTTTTGTGCTGGTAAGTTGGTGAAAACGTTTGTGTAAGAGTTGCTTTGTTAATATCAATGTGCTTTTACTACTGTGAGTTCAACAGTTTCCACATATAGCTGCGTTATTGGATATTATCAAATTTTGTTGATTTATTCAAAAGGTTTTTAATATGTTATACCAGAATTTCTACTTGAATATTATCATATTCTAGAGGTGGGAAAGATTCATTAATCCATCCCGTCTTCCATATCTAAATCCATCTCATTACGATAATAAATTTTAATTGATTGAATGTACTGATTAAGTTTTAGTTAGTGGATGGTTCATGAACTAACAAAACAATAATGGATATATCCATAGATATTTAATTATTATCCAATTTATTAGACTTAAATAAATCCAATTGAAGTTGAATCTTGTAATTAATATTCTAAACAAGTAATATATATAGGGTCAAATCATTTACAATTTCAATCTTTGTTATTGATCCCATTTTAATTTAACGGTTCAAATTTTTTAATTATATGAGCAGTTGATATAAATGGATCAATGACTAAGACTGAGCATAAGATTTTTTATTCTTATACCGATATAAAAATAAAAAAAGTCTTATATTCAAGCTTAATCATTTATTTGTTTTCATCTAATGATTCATATAGATCTAATAAATCAAAGTCTTTATATATAAACAAGATTAACAATTAAGATTGAGAATATAACTTATACTGATGTAAAATAATCATTATTATATCTATATTTTTTTAGTACATTCAATATATATATATATATATATATATATATATATATGAGGTAGGATCTTTTGACACTGGTGTCAAATTTAAAATTTGACACTTCATCTGAGAGCCATTAGATAAAAAAGATCAATGGTGTCACATGCTTACAAATCAGAGTCGTGGTTCTTTTTTTATCTAATGTCTCTCAGATGAGGTGTCAAAGGATACTACCTCTCTCTCTCTCTCTCTCTATATATATATATATATATATATATATATATATATATATATAGGTTTAATATTTTTTATGTTGTAGGAGATAAAATTGTGTGGGGCCCATGTAAGAAGAAGAGAGAAAAAGAAAATATGGGTCCTATACACTTTTAAGTGTCGATCTGTAGGAAATTTTTTTATCTCTTACATGAGAAACATTAAACTCATATATATATATATATATATATATATATATATATATATATATGAGAAAAGTATTTCTCCAGTCACTGGAGATAAAGTTACCTCAAGTGAGCTCAAAACGATATCTTTTAGTCTTAGGGGTTATAAGACTAAAAATTATAATGATAATATAACCCTAGAATAAATTATAATTACAAAAATATATTTTTCTCAACCTCAAAACAATGTCGTTTTGGGTTCTCTGGAGATAACTTATTTCCATTGACTAGAGAAATACATTATATATATATATATAGGGGTTAACATTTCTCCAGCCACCCCTTTTAACTATGTACTACGGGTAGTATATAGTTATAACATTAAAGTTGCTTTTTTTTCTCTCTCCTCAGTCACTTTCCAGAATTTGTTTGCTGACATAGAGAGAGCGAAAAAAACAATTTTAACATTATAATTATGTATTACCCGTAGTACATAGTTAAAAGGGGTAGCTTGAGATAAGCTTATATCAAGTGGCTTGAGATAAACTTGTCTAACATAGATATATTTAATTAAGTAACATATAAATTTATGGGTTCATTTTTTCTAAAGTTACTTTAGATAACTTTGTCTAAAGTTCACCGAAACGACGTCGTTTTGGGGCTGAAATCATGGTGTATTTATAATTTTAATTTATTTCAGGGTTATAGTAGTCTTTATCATTCTAATTTTTAAACTCCAAAATAACGTCGTTTCGATGAACATTAGGCAAAATTGTCTAAAGTAACAATAGATACTTTTTCCCCAAATTTATTCAGCAAAAAAAGTAACATATAAATTAAAACCCCGAGAATCATAAAATGATTATTGGCTATAGAAATGGATTTGCTGCAACACTCATATAAAAGTGAGTAAATCTCTTTAAAAAGAGAAGAGGGAAAAAGAATAGTGGGATCTATTTATTTTTATGTGAGTGTGACAGAAAAATATTTCTTCCAAAAATTCCAGAGATATTAAACCATATATATATAGACATATCCTTTAGTTGGATACCAAATCTTAACATTTGATTTCCGTGAATCTAACGGTATAATTTATGGGGTCATATTTATTAATAATTATTAATTTTCAATAAATTATAACCATTAGATTCATAGAAATCAATGGTTAAAATTGATGTCAAATGATCTTGTCCCGTATATATATATAGAAAAATATTTCTCTTGTGACAAGAGATAAAATTATTTCCTACAACCCCAAAATATTGTCGTTTTGGGGTTTAGGATTTAAAATAAAGGGTATTTTAAAAATTTTACTTTTCTCTTGTTTTATGAGTTTTACTAAAATATCCTTTCTTTTTAATCTTAAACCCCCAAACGACATCATTTTGGAATTGCAGGAGATAACTTGATCTCTTGCGAGTAGAGAAACGTTAAATGATATATATATATATATATATATATATATATATATATATATATATAAATATATATATATATATATGGGCTTATTGTAACACCCCGTATATATCCGGTTTGTTATCATGTCATCGTATTAAGCCACACTTAATTTAAAAATCGAAATATTTTTTTCTTTTCTATTATGACGTCATTATCATTAGCCAAGTTGAATTACTTAATTCATTTCATAAAACATCGCCTGTATGTAAATTGCAAAAGACAGCTAACTGAATTACCTCAATATATAAATAGCATAAACGTGTCTCTAGTCACGGAACTACAACACGTAGACCGGACAACCCTGATAGTTTATACAACTCAAGCTAAAAGGTACTAACATCAAAGCGGCATAGACAAACCCCATGTTCGCCAAATAAGGCAACACGCTCAACAAGAGTCTCAAATCAAAAAACATAAGCATGACAGAAAACATAAACAGCATCCAATATCTAGTCATGTCAGCATATAACATAAAATAATCAACTAAGCTCCGGCCTCCTGCCGCTAGAGGCATCCACCCCCAAGTTACCTGAACCTAATATAAGCATCCCCAAACGTGAGGTGAGATCTCTAAACAAGAAATCTCAGTAAGACAAGGAGTTCTCAAGGATCTTCCACCCCAAACTCACTTGCATGTGCAATATAAGTTCCAAAAGCAGTTACACAGTATAAGTTTCAAAATAGTGCAATGCAGCAGATAATCATGTCTTGTGTGTTATAACAATTCTACTGATCAGAGAAGTGCAGGAATACGTCTATACCCACACAGTACACGCCCATGCTGTACCCGCCCCCAGGACCACCCCATGGCTTCCTGGCTAGGCGAAACACCACATACATATCATAAGCATTTTGCACTTAACAGCTCCATAGCATTTCAATAAAACATTACATGAAAACACATCATGCATATAAACCATTCCCCAATGGGATATGGTGGAACAAACAATGGCTAAACCGAGGACACGAAAGCTTACCTTGCAAGCTAACAATCCAAACCAAGAGTCCACACAAGCTCAAGGCTCACAAATAGCACAATCACAATCTGTTTATACAATAATTAATCATCAATAATCATTGCTCAAGATTACATTAAGTGATTAAGGCTTTTCATCTCATTTTAAGTCATTACATGCTGTTTCTGCAGGAGGTATTCAAATACTCTCCGAGTAGTATTCAAATACTCCAGCTCTCCAGAAAGTATTCGATTACTTTCACTAAAGTATTCGAATACCACAAGGTATTCGAATACCAACACTCCAAATATCTGAATACCATAGTATCCGAATACCAAAACTCACTGTATTCGAATACTCTTCAGTATTCGAATACTTCTTCAAAGGTATCCAAATACTTTTCTTCCCAAAAAAGTATCACAATACTCCTGCAAGGAATATTCGACTACCATGGGATAAGTATTCGAATACTACACGAAAAGTATTCGAATACTTATCAGACAGAATGCAGAAACTCGAGCATTCTTCTGCATAATCCATTTTTAAGGGTCCAAACGCGATTGGGAGTCCAATGACTCTCAAAACACATAATCCACAACTTGTTATGAACTCAGAAACACATTCCTTTACACCAATGGTTAAAGTTTCTCTTTTTAAAGGATTAAACAAGTTAAACTCATCAAAACATCAAGGCTATGATCATGGTATACCTTAGGCTTCACAAACTCAGAAAAAGACTCCTCCTTGGGGCTTCCAACACAGTCACACAACACTGACTTCTAGGGCCATGAATTTTGACACCTCAAGGTGGTGTCTTTCTCCACAAAGCTCACAACTTGGAGCTCAAAATGGCAAGAAAATGGCCCCTCACAACCAAACTCCGAAAAACAGCTCTCACAACCACACAACACAGAAGCCTAACTCAGAAAGAGTGGCCTCACACCCTCACAAGGTTCACTACTTAGTATTTACAAGGTTTAGTGGTGATAAATCAAAGAAAATGTGATGACTTGGTTGGCTCACAAGCAAGTCTCAAGCTTCCAAGAAGAGGGCAGAAAATGGCTGGAGAGAATCAGCCACCAAAGGGTTCACGTAGAGGCTGAATATGGCCTAGGGTTTTGAGCCCTTAAGCTTATATAGGTCCACTTAATAAACTACACAATATTAACAAAAATAGTTACGCTTAGTATTTTAATCTCGAACTCTAGATTCTGAACCTAGTCATTATTCTAGGATTTGTCATATTTTTATTTTATTTTTCGCAGCACCTTTCCGGTACGCGCTTTTCTATAGCCAGTATCAGTTCTGGCACCAGTTCTCATTATTTTAACTTGAAACTTGAAATCACAGTCCTACATATTATTCTAGGACTATTCATGCACTTATTATAATTTT